GTGACTTGATATGGGGTGCCATGTCTACACCCACTCACAAAGGCCCTGAGGAACCACTGCTGAGACAGCTTTCTGCCTGCGACAAAGAAAGAGCTATGCTGCAGGAGAAGGGATTTGCAACAGGCTGCTTCTTGTCAGTTTAGCAAAACATACTCTTTGCCGTGACACAGAAAGCCAACAGGATGCTGGGTTGCATCAACGAGGGCATCACCAGCAAAGACAAAGAAGTCATTATCCCACTCTACTTAGTGCTTGTCAGGCCACACCCAGAATACTGTGTTCAGTTTTAGTCCCCACTATGCAAAAAAAACCCACATGTGGACAGCCTGGAGTTGGTCCAGAGAAGCACCACCAAGATGATCAGAGGACTGGGAAGCCTGCCATGTGAGGAAAAGCTGAGAGGACTGGGCTTGTTCAGCCTTGAGAAAAGAAGGCTTAGGGCAGACGTCATCACCATGTTCCAGTGTTTAAAGGGTGGCTACAAAGAAGATGGAGACTCCCTTTTTACAAGGAGTCACATGCAAAAGATGAGGGGTAACAAGTACAAGTTCCTCCTCGGGAGGTTCCAACTTAACACAAGAATAAAATTTTTCACAATGACAATAACGATCCATTGGAAAAATCTCCCCAGGGAAGTGGTGGATTCTCCAACACTGTACGCTTTTAAGATTCCGCTGGACAGCGTGCTCAGCCATCTGGTATAGACTGTGCTTTTGCCAAGAAAGGTTGGACCAGATGATCCTTGAGGTCCATCCAGCCTACCCAGGGTGTGATGGGGCTGTGACTCAGCTAAAGCACAGAGGTGGACTGAGGTGAACATTTAGGGACCTGAGCATCTCTCAGGTTAGGGGAGGCTGAGAGAGCCGGGGCTGTTTAGCCGGAAGAGAAGGTAAGGCTCCGGGGAGATCTTGTCATGGACATATACATTTGAGGGGAAGATGCAAAGAGGACAGAGCCAGGCTCTTTTCACCGGCGCCAAGTGAGAGGAGAAGAGGTAATGGGAACAAACTGAAACAGAGGAGAGGCCATCTGAACATCAGGAAACACTTTTTAATGTGAGCGTGAACCATCACCAGCTCAGCTTATCCTGAGAAATTGTGGAGTCTCCAACTTTGGAGGAACTTATGAGCCATCTGGACATGGTCCCGGGCCACTGGCTCTAACTGGTCCGGCTTCAGCAGAGGGGGTTGAACCAGATGACCTCCAGAGGTCCCTGCCAACCTCAACCCTTCCAATACCATGGATAGGTCTCAATGTTCACCCACACTGAATTCTGCAAAGATGCCCACAAGGCTTTTAGAATCACAGAGAAAAAAAAACAAAACAGGTTTTATTAAAATATAAATGGCACTACTTACCTCCCTACTATTCATTATTCCATACTTGTCATTTCATTATTGTTGTAGTCAATACAATGCAATGGAGAGTGTTGCACCACCTTTTAGGTTTCTGTCTGACACAACTGACTCTCCACACATTTCTTCACAAAAAACCCAAATTCACATCCTGAACACATTTCCCATCCCCTTCCCTTATTGCGCGTGCCTACTCACTTGTCAGCTCTGCAGCAGGGAGCATTTTTCATGGGCCCCTTAGTGTTAGTTCAGGAAAATAATGCACAAGGCTTCCCCCAGGAACACTAAGGGCAAGACTGCCTCATGTTGGGGCTTTCTGACTACGTACTTTCACCTGAAAAAAAACATTCCCGGCAACGTCGGACTGCCCACCGAAGAGATTTCGCTTTTGCATTTCCACATTTTAGCAAAGGTGGACCAGGAAGGAGCACCACCACTCTCTGGAAGAGTCACTCTAAAGGAAGGACAACTGAAAATCGGACACTAGCAAACATCCAGTGAGGTGACAGCAATGCCTCAAAAACCGTGGCCACACTTAACAAGGTTACGGACTAGCCACCTCCTGCATCTGCACACTCTGACTCATGAAACAGTGCAGCAGGGCGCTGCGGGGAGCTGCCGGGGAGTAAAATCACCGTGACTCAGCTAAAACATTGAGGTGAATGGGACTCAGTCATCACTCACGCTGCCTCCAGCACACAAACAAAA